CAGCAGGAAGACGGCCCTCTGCTCAGGGCAGGATGGGTACCCAGGAACAGCTCAGGCACGTTAGCTGGAGATGGTGGCTCCTCATGATGACTTGGGTTGGCCCAGAGTGCTCAGATGCTCCGTCTGTGGGTTAGGTTGACAGGTACATTCACTTAGATGCAGTTTGATAGAGAGCCTTCTTCAAGAGAGAGAAAGTGGGTAACGTCTCCTACTGAACAGGCTGCTCATGAGTGACACTGACCAGTGGGGAACTGGTTCTTGTTTTTCCCTTTACTTCCATTAGCATCAGGAACTTATTGCCTTGTTTTGGCTAGATCTTTCCCAGTTCCATCTTCAGAAGAGGCAGTTACTAGGAAATACCAATATCCACTTTTTTTTGGTTTGTTTTTAATATTTTTGCCATGGGGCTTGTACACTCACCAGAGAGATACAGAGAGAGGAAAAATGAGAAATCACCCCCCAGGGGCATGGCCACTCCACAATCCCTTCTCCATTCTCCTCTCAGGATTTTTTAAGCCACTTGGTTTGGGACTCAAACCACAGAGTCGGCTATGTGGGATGCAGTGCCTTCACCACCATTCCCCCTGCTGGCCCCTGAAGTACCCATTTTTTCAGGTGACTGAAGGAAGTAGGCTCATGTTAGTGCTTGCAATAACAAAATATTGTCACACTCACACATGTTCGCAGGGTGCTCCCCTCCTGGAACAGCTGCTCGGCTGTGTGTCCATCCAGCTCTGGCAAAGACCTGTCACCTAGGGCGGGGCACAGAACACTGCTTCACAACACACGGGTTTGTAGTAGTTCTTCCGCATGGTCGCCTTCTCCAGCATTGTCAGATCTCAGATACAGACATCTGTCCTGTCAGTGTCCATGGCGCGGCTCTGGTCAGTAAAGGCAGTGGCTTTCCCCAGCTGTGCCACTGCCTCCTGGCTGCCAAAGTCCACAGGTGCTAGTTGCTCCCAGAGCTCGGTCATCTCAGCTGTGATCTGGCCTTCCCGGAAGCTCTGCCTGGAGGTGAAGTCCCAGTGTCCCCTTTATGGAGCCTGAAGGCTCAGTCACACAGCTGAGTCCTCTCCTAGGACTTTCTTTTTAAATTTTGGTTTTGCCGTAGTTTCTCTTAAAGCCATTTCCACATGGATATATTACCTAGCTCTGCTCATTTCAAATTTTCCTGTTTCACACTTTAAACTCTGAGCCCTCTGAAGTCCATCATTTTTAAAAGATTAAGTGGGCTTTCTGTTAAACATAGCATACTGTTTTTTTGTTTTTTTTCTTTCACATTTTGTGGACATTCTGTGTGGGGGACAGCAGAATGTCAGGTGAATTTTCCTAAAACCACCTTAGCTGCCTGCTCTGTGCCAACTGGTTTTGTTCGTGGCTTCTGAGCACCAGTGAGCCATGATCTGACACACGTGAGGGGACTGCTTCTGCTGGAGAGTACTGGCCAGCTGTGATCTGATACGCACATGTGTGTGAGGGGACTGCTCCTGATGGAGAGCTTTGGACAGCCATGATCTGATACGCACATGTGTGTGAGGGGACTGCTTTTGCTGGAGAGCACTGGCCAGCTGTGATCTGACCCACACGTGTGTGATGGGACTGCTCCTGATGGAGAGCTCTGAACATCCATGATCTGACATACACATGTGTGAGGGGCTGCTCCTGATGGAGAGCTACGGACATCTGTGATCTGATTTGTACACATGTGTGAGGGGCTGCTCCTGATGGAGAGCTCTGGACATCCGTGATCTGACACATACATGTGTGAGGGACTGCTCCTCATGGAGAGCTCTGGACACCTGTGATCTGATACGCACATGTGTGAGGGACTGCTCCTCATGGAGAGCTCTGGACATCTGTGATCTGACACACACATGCGTGAGGGGCTGCTCCTGATGGAGAGCTCTGGACATCCGTGATCTGACACACATGTGTGAGGGACTGCTCCTCATGGAGATCTCAGGACAGCCGTGATCTGACACATGTGTGAGAGCTCTGGACATCTGTGATCTGACACACATGTGTGAGGGACTACTCCTGATGGAGAGCTCTGGTTAACCGTGATCTGACACGTGTGAGGGACTGCTCCTGATAGAGAGCTCTGGACACCTGTGATCTGACACACATGTGTGAGGGGCTGCTCCTGATGGAGAGCTCTGGACATCTGTGATCTGACACACATGTGTGAGGGGCTGCTCCTGATGGAAAGCTCTGGACATCCGTGATCTGACACACATGTGTGAGGGGCTGCTCCTGATGGAGAGCACCGGCCAGTGTGATCTGACACAGGGATCACGACACTGGGCACACCGAGTCACTAGTCTGCCTGCTGCTGCCTGGACTGAATGGTTCCTTCTAAATATTTGGAAGATATCAAAGCGAATCACTGAAGTGTCAGGTGCCACCTGTGTCATTTTCAACCAGGCCACATCCCTGGGGATGTAATAGATTCTTAGGATGAGGGTAGGGAAATGCACACACATGCAGTTGGAGAAGCGTGTTTACTGCAGGCCCACCCAAGCTCATTTGGGTGGGTGGGCATGATTTTTTTTGGGGGGGTAAATAACAGTGGCTACAAAACAAGTTTGAGGTGAGGTGGCTTCTCCCCTTGCAGCCCCCCTCCTAGATAAGTGTGATGAAAGCTAGTCTCAGACCAAGCTGTGCCCCACACCTTCACTAACTTTTTGTTAGGAAGTAAGTGCATTCACGCACACACATAACAGCTTGTTCCATAGGTTCAGAGGACTCAGTTCTGTCCTTGTTGAAACTCTTTGTCACCAAATATTCACTCAAGGCACATGTCAAGATTCCAGAGATGGAATTCTAGCATTGGGTTTACTGGTCTCAGACAGGCAGGACCTTCCCCGCCCATCAGGGCTCGTTTAGGGACATGGCCTGGTGCAGACTGTGCAGGGGACATTAGGGAGAAGGCTCTGCTTTACTGTGTCCACAAAGGGCCAGGAACACGTCTAGGCAGTCATGTTTCTTGAATAACTTTTACCAATGAAACCCCTTTAGAGATTCATCACAGGTGGTCAAGAAGCCAATAAAAACCCATTGTAAGTATGCTGCTGATCCAGGCATCGGTGGGCCGTCAGGGTGGGTATCAAAGGGGTTGTGGTAGCTGGCTCTGGCTGAGAACATGGGTGGACCCCCAGGAATAGTGACTGGCTGGGCTGTGGCATCAGGGCCACATACTTGGTTTGCATTCAGTTTGTGCTCAGGTACAGTGAGGTAGATTTCAGACATCTGCACTTTTTTTGGGGGGTGAGGTGGGGGAGAGGTTTTTGTCACAGGGCGCGTGTGCTTGCCAGACAGAGAGAGAAAGAGAGAAAGCGAGACATCCCCCCCCCAGGGGGGATGGCCACGCCGCACTCCCCTCTCCTCCATTCTCTTCTTGGGATCCTGGGCACACATGTAAACGTGCCCAGCGTGAGTCCAAGCCACCAGGTCCAGGATTCAAACCATGGTTGACTACATGGGAGGCCAGCGACATAGCCACTACGCCCACTGCTGGTCCCGACATCTGCACTTTTTAATATTAAATTGTCTTAGAAATGAGAATAAAATGGCTTTTGGATGCTACATGTAGAAAGTAAGACCTGGCAGGTGAAGACATGTACTCTCACTTTACAGTCCAAGAAATGGGTGTTGCCTTCGCAGTCTCAGGATGAATGTGACATTCTTGAGGATTGGGCAGCAAGAATTTTGTTTTGTAAAGATGGGATCAGTTACTTAATAGGTTGATAAATACTGCCATAGAATCCGTTTAATCAAACTCGAGAAAACAAGTCATAAGAGTAACATTATTTTATTAACTCGAAATCCCACTAACCGGAGACACGGTAATTTGGTCTCAGGCTGGGCTGGAGCTTTTTTATATCCAAGCTGGGAAAAATTGCTAAGCAAAATAATAGTTTAAACAAGATTGGAAGGAACAATTTGAAAGCACTCATGTATAATTGATACGTCAATTACTAATCATTCCCCTATTCATTAAACCCAGTCTCCTAAGGATACCTATTTTCTTTATGAATCTTTGAAATGTGTAAAACAGCTTTATTTTTAACAGACTGATTCTGGGCTTTCACATTTGGATTAGTTTTCCAACCCATTTAATTTGTGTTTGTAAACATTGCTGTCCTGTGTGTGTGTGTGTGTGTGTGTGTGCTTTTTTTCACTACATGTGTTTTTTTCAGCCTTTGTTCAGAAAAACCTGGTCTACGGCACAGTCAGAAAGGTGTGCCGCAGACCCAAGTATGTGTCTCCCCAGGATGTGAAGACCAAGCAGATCTGGTAGGTTGCCTCTGGGGAGCTGTTCTTAGCATGTATCGTGGGTCATGGTTCTGGTGCTAGTTAAAGGAACCTACCTCCTTAAAAGGGCAGTCATTGGCTTGTGTCACCAAATGCCCCAACATTCTGATGTCATTCATATTCTACTAGTTGGGAAAGTTTTTGAACCAGAGAGAGAATTAGCCTTGTGAGTAGGAGCTTTATAATACCCAATGCATTATGCCTGTTGTGATCCTCAAGCCAGGCTAGACTTGAAGCTTACTCATCAGTTTGTCTTTGCAGTGGGCCAATAGAGTCATATACATGAGTTTTTAAGCATGTTGAATTATGGGACAGTGGATGGCATGGTGGTTAAGGTGCTAGGCTCCCACATGGCTGACCACACTTTGAGTCCAGGACCTGGTGGCTTGTTTTCTCAATTTTCTTTTCTCTCTCTGTTTCTTTCTAATGAGAGCATGTGCCCTATAGCAATTAAATAATAATAATAACAACAATAAATGAAATGAAATAATAAAAAAAGAATGTTGAATTACTGATGGAATTATACCAATTAAAAAGTACACTACATACTTGACTATCACAGAATACCAAACACTGGTCCTGCAGTTGCTAGTGGGCCAACTTCATCCTCAGGGTGGGCTCCCATACCTCACAAGGTGACCAGGGGCCACAAGGTCAGCCCCTGACCTTGCGTGCGTCTAGGAGGGTGGAGGGAGACTTCCTGCAGCTGAGGGGGGAAATTCTCGACTTTTGCACTGACTAGATCCCCTTTGAACCAGTGGCGTTGTTTTCAGCTTGGGAAAGTGTGATGGGCTTGGAGCTGGGTAGAAAGGGGTTGGAATTTTCCAGACCACAAAACTGCATGGGAAGGTGGCCCGTGCCATGGACAGGAGGCATTATGAAGCCGGTATGTTGGGTTTGCCACGGCCAGTGCCAGGACTTCTGCTGGTGTGCCACTCCCCCTTCTGTTAGCCTGACGAGGCTGGCTCGTTTCTGCTTCATGGAGAACCGACAGTATCTCTGTTAGTTGTTTCAGAGTTCCCAGGTGGACTTGAGTGGTTGTATTTGTGAAGCACCGAGAGGTCATTTTGAAAACAGTATGGCACAAGCTATGGATAAAAGGCATTATCAGTACAAAAACAGCACTTGTGAGCCAGGTGTGACCAAGTCACCTCTTGGGGACCAGCCTTACTTTTTCCTCTTTTTCATTAAAATGTATTTTTGACTTTGTGTAAAAATATTTACATGATGTTACTACTACCTGGTTCCTCCTGTGGAGACCCATTTTCATGAAGTCTGATTTCTCTTTCGTATCTTTCTCTTAGCAAAAATAAGCAAATGCATCTACCTATTTATACACATAAATGTATTTTTTTATTTCCATGTTTTTTACACTAAAGGTAATGTGATACACACACACACACACACATACATACATACGCACTGTTCTGAACCTTTTTTTTTTTTTCCACCTAAAACTAGGTCCCGGCCCGATTGCAGTGGCACAAGCCATTGGGTGCTGCAGTGCAAAGCTGGTGCCACATGAGAGACTTGGGTTTAGCTCCTGGGCCTGGGTACAGTAGCATGTGTCTGTAGTCCTTGCTAACTGAGAGGCAGGGGCTGGAGGATTGTAGCAGTGAGACCCTGTCAAAAAAACTGGGTCGGTTTCCATCTGTATACACTCTCATTAAAAAAAAAAAAAAAATCCCAGGCCAGCTGGTGGCATGGTGGTTAAGGTGGCTGAATCCTACATAGCTGATTGCACAGTTCGAGTCCTGGATCCAGCAGTTTTACAAAGCATGCCAGGCACATATGTGTGCATGTGTGCCCAAAATCCTAACAGGAGAATGGAGTAGGAAAGGTTGCAGTGTTCCCTCCTACCCCCCAAGGGAGTGATTTCTCATTTTCCCTCTCTGTTTCTCTCTGGTGAGCATACATGCCCTAGGGCAAAAAAAAATTTAAAAAAAAAGAGAGAAAATAATTTTTTTTTTTATGATTTCTTCTATGAGAGAGAGAAAGTACTCTCAACAGGATCTGGACATCATGCTCAACCCCAGCCTCAGCTAGCCCCAGATCTTGGGTGTGCATCTGTGTGGCATATTCAGGGTGGTCTCCAGACATGAGGTTAGCACCTTCTCACATAGTCAGCCTTGCCCAATGTCACCTTTACCACTTCGCCCTCTCCAGCCCTGTACTGTGTGTCCTTTCTGGGACTGGATCTCTTTTTTCATTGTTCCAGTTTAGTTTTCAAGGAGCCAGAAGTAGACACCAGATGTAAGAAACAAAAGTGATTATTTTGGTCAAACTCAGACTAAGATAAGAGGGATCCAGGGTCTCTTCACTGTTACATAGAGTGTTATGCACTTGGAGCAGGTGACACACACGACTGCTTCTTCTGACCTGTGTGACAGCAGCTGGTTGTCACTAACTCCAAGAACAAGCCTGTTGACCCTCCATGTCCAACTGAGATTCTGAGGGTGGTCACTTTCAGACACAACTTCTCTTTTTACATAGTAGGGTCACAAAATACGATGTCCCTAATTCCGAAGTTGTAATGTAGGACTGGCCTTTAATGTAACATTTGAAACAGTATTTATTGGGTCATCTGAAAACTTATGACTTGTTTTTGCATAGAAAAACAGAACTATGTCATGACTTTTCCGACAACCCAATAAATAAGGGGCTTCAAGAAGTTCACGGAAATTGAGCTTCTGTTTGTCTTGGAGTTCTGCACCTTACTGTGCCATGACTGCATGGGCATTGTTTTGTTCATCCTGCTTGAGAGTCTTCAGGCTTCCCAAACTGGGTCAGTGTCTCCCCAGTTCTCTTTGACAGTGGGCCCCACCCTGACCTCTTGCTTCAGATGAGAGTGCAGCAAGTCCCCCTCACCCTGTTCTCCGTGTCTCAGTTCTTCCTCGCATTTCTTACCGCCTTGCCGCTCTGCACCATGTTCTGGATCATTCACTTTACATGTCTTTGAGCTCACTACTTCTCTCCAGTGGCCTCACTGCTGTTCAGCCTGTCCATTGAACTTTTACTGTCAAGGGTTTTATTTCTAGAAGTTGTACTTGGTTCTATCTCATATCCTCTTTATTTTTGTTGTTATTTGTTTTTTAGTAGTTTTATGTTCTTCACATATGCTTTTTATTTTAATTATTGATTTAATTTTATTTATTGTTATTATTAAAAAAATTTTTTTTTGGCTATAGATTAAATGTGCTCACCAAAGAGAGTGAGAAAGCAAGCTACCAGGTCCAGGACTTGAATTATGATTGGCAATGTAGGAGTCCAGCACCTTAACTTCCATGTCATCTGCTTGTCCCCCTTACATATGCTTTTTTTCTTTTAAAGAATTTTTATATAATTTTATTATTCAATTTGGTCAGACAGAGTGTGTGTGTGTGTGAGAGAGAGAGAGAGGGAGGGTGAATGAGAAAACAAGCCACCAAGTCCAGGATTCAAACCTTAGTTGGCCATGTGGGAATCCAGCAACCCAACCACCATGCCACCTGTCAGCCCCCTTGCCCCCCTGTACAATTTTTTTTAAAGTTTTTTTTTTTTTTTTCTTTAAACATAGGAATAGGCTGGCCCTGTGACCAGTGGTTAAGACAGTTGGATACCATATGATCAACTCCGCAGTTTGAATCCAGCCCTGGTGGCTTGAAAAACATACCAAGAGTGTGTGTGTGTGTGTGTGTGTGTGTGTATGTCTATGTCTCAAAACCTGATGGAGTGGAGAATGGATTGCAGTGTGACCCCACCCCATTGGGGGTGCTTTTTCCCTTTTTCTTCCTTTGTCTCTGCCTTGGGTAAGCTCATATGCCTTCTGGCAATTAAAAAAAATAGGAAGAACAACTTTTTTATAATATAATTTCAGCATTTTAAGTCTCTCTTAGACTGTTTCTTGCTAATTCTTGCTGATTGGATCGTGCTTAGTTATTTTTAAGCTCTTTTTTTTTTCCTACGAAAGTTACTTGTGGGAGTTCTGTCAGTTCATTGAACACATGAGGTTAGTGTCTCATGCCAGCAGGAACAGAAGATGGGGAGAACAGTGCATTCTAAGACTTTCTAGAAACGATTTGAAATTTTGGTTTCACAGTCTTTGTTCCTAACCCGCTTGGACCAGATGTCTTTTAGAACTGCTTTTATTTAATTACTTTTATTTTTAGAATGATAATGTGGTGCACCTAGTAGGTGACACTCTGTAACTGAGCACGTTCCTGTTTCTGCAGTGAAGACTGTGCATAGTGACCTGACCAAAGATACATGCAGGCTGCCTCCTGGTTCAGGTCACCTTTCTACTGCCAAATGAGTTCTGATGTCAGTTTTATAGTATTTAAAAATGTTTTTTGTGTTGGGACCAGCAGTTAGCGTAATGGCTATGTCGCTGGACTCCCACGTAGTCGACCGCGGTTCGAGTCCCGGACCCGGTGACTTAAAACTCACTCTGGGCGCGTGTGCGTGCGTGCCCAAGATCCTAAGAGGAGAATGGAGGAGAAGGGATTGCGGCGTGACCATCCCTCCTGGGGGGTGATTTCCTGCTTTCTGTCTCTCCGTCTCTCTCTGTCTGTCTGGCGAGCACACGCGCCCTATAGCAAGAAAAAAAAAAAAAGCCTCTCCAAAAAAAAATGTTTTTGTGTGTCAATTACACTTCATTGAGGCTATTTACTTTATTTTATATATTTTTAAAGTCTTGAGTGCTCTTTGAATTTTCAGACCTTGGCTAAAGGAGTGTGATCCTATGTGCTGGTTTTGTGCGGTATTTGTGCGGTAGCTGGGCCACACGTCAGAATGGGTCTCACGACCAGTTGTTTCGGGTTTGGCTATATCAGGCAGAGATGAAGATGCCCTCACGTTGGAGTATAGTGTTTGTGAGCCTCTTGCCCTTTGTCTGTTTTTGCTTTTAGTTTTTTTGCCATAGGGTGTGTGTGTGTGTGTGTGCGCGTGCGCATCACAGAGACAGAGAAAAGGAAAGTGAGAAGTCACCTCACAGTGGGGATGGCCACACTGCAGTCCTCTTTTCTCCAGTCTTCCCTTGGAATTTTGGGTATGCACACACAGGCTCTCGGCATGATTTTCAAGCTACCAGGTCCAGGGTTCGAACCACAGTCGGCCATGTGGAAGCCCAGTGCTTTACCCACTATGTCACCTGCTGGCCCCATCTTCTGGAAGCTTTTTAGAATGTGCTATGCTGAGACACGGGACCTGTGATCTGGAGAGCGGAGAGCACCAGGATAGATGTGCTTCTGTCCAAGAATGAAACGTCTGTGTGGGCATCTGCTTATATTTTGCAGTGGTGTCAAGTTTCAAGGCCCAAAGAGCATTCCAGACTATTGGGACCCCTCCGCCCTGCCGGACCCAGGGTTTAAGGTAAGGGACTCATGCTGCTGGGGCTGGGCAAGATGTTCTATAGGGACAGCGATGTGTGACTATTGTGGCTGCTTCCTTGATCACCAAAGAAACCATAAGGTTCTGCAGGGCTTGTTGGGGGATGGAAGGCAGAGGTGTATGTGGGTTGTGTGCGTTTTTTGTTTTCTGTTTTCTGGTAAGTCTTAGGGGTTTTAAGGCAAATGATTACTCAGGAGACGGCAGTGGCCCAGAGGAGAGTGGACATGTCATGAAGAGAGGATGAGAAGCTGTGAAATTTGTTAGAAAGGGTAGAAATCCAGGATCTCACAGGCTGGATTAGCCACTAAATATCCATTTTACTAAGCAAGAAAAGGAAAAGAAGCCAGGAGAGAACTAGAGTGTGCTGAGGGCCGTTAGGAAGGGGGTTGCTGTTGGGAGGCACCAGATACTAGAAGGCAGGAAGACAGCCAGCTGACCATCGGGCCCATAGGGCCCATAGGGCCCATAGGGCCAGGAGCTGGGCTGAGTATACCAGACTTCAGACTCAGGACTGACATCGCCTTGCCCGTGTGGCCACCTGCCTGACATCAGTGCTGGCCTCCTGCCAAGCCGTGCAAATGCAAGCATAGCACAGTAGCCCCAGTCCTAGGCGCGGGCGGGGTATCTCATTGAGCTCATGCGAGACACCAACAGTGTAGGCAGGCACTGGGTGGGAGGAGCTCAGACACATCGCCACCAGCCCTGGTCTTGTGGACCACGCTGTCTAGCCCGTGTCTTTGGCCTCTGTGAGGTATAGACAATGGCAGGGCATCCCCAGGACACCCCGGATGGGTGGCTGAAGCCTTGTGTGTCTGCCCTTTGGGCTGCTCTCTAGTAAACATGAAGGAACTGAATATTTTGTGACCATCCTGTCCTGGTGAGACCGCATCCATCTTGGGGCAGGGGGCGTTGTCACCACCCTCTGGGCTTTCTTGCTCCTACAATTCTAGCATTTGCAAGTGGCCTTCTGGGGGGGGGGGGGGTTGGTCTGTCTTCCTCACTTTGGTGGTAACACGTTGAACATGTTGGTCCCTGCAGAAGATTGCCCTCAGCTCCTCTTCCGCGGAGTATCAGAAGGTCAGCACCCTCTTCCACCTCACGCTGCCCTACTACCACATTCAGAAGGTCGAGAGAGTCCAGAACTTGGCCCTTTGGGAAGTCTACCAGTGGTACGTCAGGCTGGCTTCTGCTGGGCTGCTGGCTCTGTCCCCTGTCCCCACTGACTGCTACCACCCACACCCCCAGCCTCCAGGAACATCAGAGAAGTAGCCACTACCCACCCGCTGCTGGTGCATGCCGGGAGTGGCATCCCTGTCTCCTGCTTCCTTATCCCAGTGGCTGTGTAGTGGTATGTCCCTCTAGAGATGAGGGACCCAGACTCCCAGGTTTTAGGCCCCATTCCTATTTGTGACTAGCAACAAAGCCAGCTCTCACACTTGTCCTTTCCGCCTCCCTGTGATGGACAGGATGGGACAATCGCCCCACACCCCCCTCAGCCTGAGCACAGCCCTTTGTCTGGGAGCTCACTTCTGAGCATGAGGACTAGCATGTTCTGGGCACCCAGCCATGTGTCCACGTGGGGAGGAAAGCCACAGAGGTTGTCACGGCAGCCTAGTCCTGCTGATCAGGCCCCGTAGGGCTGGGGTGGTGTCGCCCGTTCCCATGCACCATGATGAAGTCAGGCAGGGCAGAAGAGGGCCCTGACCAGTAGTCCTGCACTGCTCTCTGGCTCCCAGCTCCTGGGTTCATCTCTGCTCAGGAGTGAGGCAGGGAAGAATCGTGCCGATTCCCAAGGGCCAGCAGCTCTGGAGACCCAGGAGTCGCTGTAGGCCCGAGTTGCTGAGACGAGGGTCCCCCTCCACTTTTATCCTGGTCCTGCACTACTCCTCCTCCCCATCCCTGCCTGTGGCTGGGGGGGTCTCAGGACACTGCTGCTATCGTGGCAGGATGTGCTTTCTCGGGCTGGGCAGGCTATATCTGGCGGCCCCAACACGTGTTCTTCCACGATTCCAGGCAAAAGGGGCAGATGCAGAAGCAAAACGGGGGAAAGGAGGTGGATGAGCGACAACTGTTCCACGGCACCAGCGCCAGCTTCGTGGACGCCATCTGCCAGCAGAACTTCGACTGGCGGGTCTGCGGCCTTCATGGCACCTCCTACGGCAAGGGTAAGGGGCGGCCTGGCCACCAGTGGACCTGTGTGGCCTCACCCTGGCTGGCATCCCTTTAAAGCAGATGGACAGAGTGTGAGGGGTCAGCCTAGGTGAGGCGCTCTGAAGCTGTGGACAGTGGCTGGGCCCGGGGGGTACCCCACCAGCCTATGCTCACTCCTCCACATGGAGCCAGGCAGCCAGCCTGGCTGGGGTGTGGCCCTCCAAGAGGTGAGCTTGGAGAGTGGAGGCCCTGCGAGGTAGTGGCAGCTGGGACAGGGGAAGGGATGCCTTCTCAGCTGTGATAAGTCCTCAGACTGCGTCTTCAAGATTTCCTTGGGCTAGAACTGAAAACCTCAGGTGCCCTTACAGATGCGTGCATTCTGGCTGTCAAAGGGAGAGTTGTCTTGTCTCTAAACTTCACTTGGAAATCATTTCAGACTCACAGGAAAGGTGCAAGCATAATACAAAACACAAGTCCTGCATAAATTTACCTGTACTCAGTCTTAATGCTTTGCCACTTGGTTTGATCACTGCTCTATTTTTTCTGAACCACGTGTAAGTTGCAGCACACACCATGCCCTCACCCTTGACCTCTTCCTGAGAACAAGACTCATAACCTCACTGTGGCTGCCAGATCCAGGAGATTTAAGCTGCAGCCCACATTCCAGTTTTGACAGTTTTCTGTCACTTGGTCTGGCATGGTGATGACCATGGGGCAAGGACGAGAGGCCATAACTTCCAGCTCAGCCTGTAGGACAATGTTCCTATTTCTGTACCCTGGGCCACTGGTGTCCACAGAGCCATTGTGTGTACTTCAAAAGGCTGAGTGAGGGACCAGCAGTTGGCGTAATGGCTTTGTCACTGGACTCCCACGTAGTCGACCGCAGTTTGAGTCCTGGACCCAGTGGCTTAAACTCATGCCGAGCGTGTTTGCATGCATGCCCAAGATCCCTAGAGGAGAATAGAGGAGAAGGGATTGCAGCATGGCCATCCTCCCGGGGGTGACTTTTCATTCTCTCTGTCTCTCTCCGTCTTTCTGGCAAGTGCACACACCCTATAACAAAAACCTCTCCAACAACAACAACAAAAGACTGTTCCCCACTTTATAGCTAAGGAAACAGGCACAGGGTCAAGTAGCAATGTGCCCAGAGACCTTGAGGTTTTGAGTGAGGAATCTGGAACTTTAAGAGTTTTCTGACTTGCTGCTCTGCTAGTCTGCCGTGGATGTGCGCCCCTTCATGAGAAGGGGAGCAGAGGCTGCTGGCATTGCTCTGCCAGGCCACTGTCTCCCAGGGCTGAACATGTCCCCCTTTCTGGCCATGGGCGTATCCTCCCAGCACCCTGCTAAGCCCGTGTGTCCTTTCAGGGAGCTACTTCGCACGAGATGCTGCATATTCGCACCACTACAGCAAGTCCGACACGCAGTCCCACACCATGTTCCTGGCCCGGGTGCTGGTGGGCGAGTTCGTCAGGGGCAGCTCCTCCTTCGTCCGCCCCCCGGCCAAGGTGGGGCAGAGCAACACTTTCTACGACAGCTGTGTGAACAGCATGTCTGACCCCTCCATCTTCGTGATCTTTGAGAAGCACCAGGTGTACCCGGAGTACCTCATCCAGTACAGCTCCTCTGCCCACCCGCAGGCTGGGACCTCCCTCCTCATGGCCCTGGGCTCCCTGTTCAGCGGCCGGCAGTGAGTGCTGCTGCCTGGCCAGGGTTTGTGGGCGTCAGACTGAGCTTCCCAGAGGTCGCTGGTTGGGATTGTTCTTCCTTTACGAAATACTTTCAATGAACTGTTCAACGTTGACTTCATAGTGAAGGTGCATTCTTAACCTCTTGCCAATAATGGTTTTTGCTTTTAAGTCACTTTTGGGCTCGCCAGTGGAATAACCAGTAGTGATTGTAGGTGAGCCCATTTTTGCTTTTTAATAATGTTAAAGTTTTATTTTTTACTCTCTTTTTTGACTTTGCTGCTCGCTGGCACCAGGTACAGTTTCTAGACACAATTTTATGGATTTGTTTTAAATTTTAAGAATTTGTCTCTACAGTGGTTCAGTTTTCAGGGTCTTATGGCTTCTGCCTTCCTTTGGATCAGAATGATACAGTAGCCACTGCGGAGGAGGACCTAGGGCGAGCCAGGCCCCGCGGTCACGCCTTTCTCTGGGGCTCTGGCCCCACTTGGCCTGAGTTCTGGTGTTCACTGGCCCACTTCATACTGTCAGAGTCACTGAGTCTCCATCAGTGTCCCCTTGTCCTGGTGGGGGTCAGCTGTCCCTCAGAAGCATGTCTCCCTGGGCAGGTGACGTGGCTGAGTGGTCCCCCTGAAGACCCTGGCCTTAGCCCATGTGTAACCCATTCACTTCTGAGCACACTGGACACCTTCCAGGTGTGGGTTTTATCAAATGCTTGTGAGATTGAGTGCCTGTGCTGCAATTGTCACCAAAGAGTATAGAAATAAAAAAAAATTTTATCTGAAACAAAGACTGAAGCACGTCCTTCAACGTCTGTTTATAGAGAGCACTGATATCGGGCAGTCTTCTGGCTGACGGGCTGCCTCTATCCATGCTGCTGTAACAGCACCACAGGCTGGAGGCCTTATAGACAACAGCTGGGGATTGCTCCCAGTTCGGGAGGCTGCAATTCCAGATTGGTACATTCAGGGTCGGGAGCGCCCGTTCCTCAGATGGCCGTCTTCTCACTGTAACTTTATATTGGGGGAAGGCGTGCTGCTTTATAAAGGCACTAGTCCCAGTCAGGAGGGGTCCACCCCACCCCGCCTCCAAACACTGTCTTGATAGGGAGGATTTCTGTGTATGAATCTGGAGGGGACATAAGCATTCAGATCACAGCAGGGATGTAGGAGCCGACATCACTGGCCTCGGTCCAGCTGTGTGGCTTCATCATGAACCCATGATGCTAAAGGTTCAGGGTCTCTTGTTGGCCAGAGCCCCCTTCCCATCCCTGGGGAGGAGCCTTAGCAATGTGGTCATGTGATCACATGTTCTAGTAAAATCTGTGAAAAATACTGATTTATATTTGGTCTCTCCTCCCCAACTCACGTATAAGTCTTGGGCTCCACAAAACTTGGGCTCAGCCTGGAGCAGTGTGCTGTAGGCACAGAGGTGGTACTGTGTGCTTGTGAGCCAGGGCAGCCTCCCTCCTGGCCTTGGCGGGTCCTGGCCCGGATGGCAAAGGGCGGGGTCCATGTGGCGCCCGAGCACCCAACAGCCTTGGCTGCACCCGTGGCCCCGGTTCAGGTGCCTTGCTTCCACTCATCTCGCCTGTTCCCCAGCCCTCCTTACAGGTGTCCCTGCCCTGACTGACACCTCCACTCCAGCTGGTGTGTTCATGAAGAGCCTGCCAGGTGCTGGGCACCGAGACCAGGCATCCGCAGTGTCCAGATCCAAGGCTATTTCACTAGTTCTAACATCTTTGGAAACCTTACCCAGGCAAGTGTAGGCGAGCCAGAGGAGGCCCAAGTTAAATGACCAGGAAAATGGAGATGCACCCACGTGACTTCCCCCTAACTCCCATGGGGCCAGTCATGTGGGGGGTTATTCTGCAACCCCCCCAAAATATTCCCCATAGCCTCCCATATCCTGAAATGTCATTTGTTGCTTTTTAACTGTCACTGGTCCCGTTATGGTGCAGTTGAGGAGTAGGGGGTCCAAACTTTAGACCTGATGCTTGCCTGTTCCAGTGCTGAGTGTAGATGAACCGATGCAACCACCAGGAGCTGGAGTGGAATGGCTGCAGGAACGTATTTCATTCAGGAGTGCGCGTGGGGAGAGTGGCCGGCAGAATCAGGTGGGAGGTGATGGATTGTTCCAGAAAAGTAAGGTGCAGAGACTATAGGCTAGGCCCCTGGATCTGGGCAGCTTGGAGGAGGCAAGTTAGGAAGATCACCTGCCTGGACCGCAGTGCTAAGCGTGAAGAGATCTAGCAGCAGGCTGCTGGGGGGTGGGGGAGGCTGTGTCATGGTGGGCATGGGAAGGGTGGGCATTAGGCGGGAGGGAAGCAGGATGGCTGTACCCCTCAGGATGCTTGGTGTAGAGGGAACAGGGTCCAGGGCAGGTTGTGTGTGCCTATGCACATGTGTGTGTGTGTGCTTGGCCAGAAGTGAGGCCCGGGTGGGAGGCAGTGCCAGTCTTGATGCAGCCAGTACAGCCATTCCCTGCCCGGGACACTGGGCGAGAACAGCAGGATTTAAGCAGAGCTAGGCCAGGTGAGCGTACATGGTCTAGATGCAGCACGTTAGAGAGCCTCCACCACTGGGGCTGAAGACAGTGACCCCTGTTGGGAAGGCCCTGGAAAGCCTGATGGAGCTGATGGGCTGGGGTGTGGGGCCAGGGTCCCCAGGGAAGGCTCAGGTTTGGGGGGGCCTTGCTCTAAGCAGGGAGCTGAGTGTGCGGGTGGGCCCATCTGCAGGTGAGGTTCACAGGGGCCGTAGGGAGGTGAGGTCAGGCTGAGGGAGAAGGGCAGGTGATGGTGGCAGGGGGTAGAGAGGACATGTGACAGGCTTGCCAGAACCCCTAGAGGACGGGCAGTCCAGGCAGTTGTGGCCCATGGGGCTGAGACGGTCCTGGGAGTGAGGCCGCCCTGCCCCATCTGGGGAAGCCAGAGAGTGAGAGAGGTGGGGGCAGACTTAAGAGACAATAAGAGGGAAAGTGAAAAACGACCCCCCAGGGGATGGCTGTGCAGTAATCCCTTCTCCATTCTCCTTCGGGATTTTGGGGAAGCAGAGGGGGCTCTGGGCTGGGAGAGGCCGCTGGTGCTGCAGTCCATACAGAAATTGCTGCCGGCTCTTCCAGAATGCCCGAGATCTCCAAAGGTGGCTCGTCGGCACGTAGATACCACTAAGGGCCCCAGAGTGCACCGTCATCTCCACGACGTTCCACCCCGCGAAGCCTGTCAGGCGTCATAGAGGAGGAAGGGGGTCTTCACTGTGGGTCAGCCTCCCCGTCATTCAGATGAGGAAACCGAGGCATGCGGAGCTGAGAAGGCCAGCAGCCACGACGTGCTGGCGCAGAGCCAGGGTGAGCGCAGTGCTGAGGCTCCCGCAGACAGCTTAGCTGCACAGTGAGATACTTACTGACTTCAAAACTGCGTGTGAACAAATGGAATCAGACTATGAACTTCAGTGTAAAACCTGTCTGCATCCACGGTTTATTCATCATACGCATTTCCATGAACTTGGTGAAGACACCTTCATAGTTTGGTTCTTTAATCAAACTTAAGGAAAGGTGTGATTCTCTTTAAGATAAAAAGTACATTTCGGCGTATGTTTTTCTTTTCTTTTTAAGGTTTTTGTCACAGGGCATGCGAACTCACTGCAGAGAGAGAGACAATAAGGGAAAGCGAAAAATGACCCCCCAGGGGATGGCCGTGCAGTAATCCCTTCTCCATTCTCCTTCGGGATTTTGGGCACACACGCACATGTACCTAGTGTGATTTTTTTTAAGCCACCAGGTCTGGAGCTTGAACTGTGGTCAGCCATGTGGGAGTCCAGAGCCTTAACCATCCTGCCACCTGCCGCCCCCACCTACATCATTTTTCTACAGACACTTTAATGTAGGAATAACTACCCAACCGAGAAAAGCCAAAGTGTGATAAAGCCTGCGACCACTGCTGCGTTTGCGTGTCTGATGAATGGCATTCTCCTGACCCCCCAGTGCTTGAGATGCCGAAGAAGCCACAAGCTGGTGGCATTGGATCGGGCCCACCTGAGTGTCCTCGCGTCCCCTGCACCACAGATTCCTTTTAGCCTGAGGCTAGACTTCCTTTAAACCTCCATATCCTCCGTGATTTCATCAAAACCACACTTCTGCTATGTTAGCAACCCCTCACTTGGAGCAGTGGTTCAAAGCCGGCTACAGGATTGAAACCGAGTGCCACACGTTTATTGAACGTTTAGAAAATGTGACGTAAATAACTGCCGTCAAGCTTGCATGCCAGACACCCTGCCCATCGCTCCAGCCATCATTTCCGGAGCGTCTCAGTTTCCATAGGGGGCTCTCCTTGGATTCGAGGATGCCCTCGTAACTCTGACTTGTAGGGATGGTAGCTACAGTCGCCGTCCCTCCTGGTGGCCCTCTGTCAGCGAGACACGATCTTGATATAGACACCGTTTTTGGGACTCAGAGCAGATTTGGATTCTAGCAGCAGCGGTACCTAAAATAGCGGAAATTGAAGCATTTGTCTGAGTTAACCATATTAAGGGGAGGCCCCCTCAGAACTGGGCCTGAAGGTTGTAGCAATTTGTGGGCCAAGGGTTAGCCAGGCTGGGGTGAGCAGAGGAGCCACCCCCACTGGACTGGGTTCCCTGAAAGCCCCCGCAGCTGCCCTCGCCTGGGCTGGTGCTGGGGCCAGCAGCACACTCCCCACACTGACACCCTGTCATGGGTGCCCCCTAACTCAGGTGCTTAGATTTGGTGGTAAGATATTAAGAGGAAACTTAATACAGTCATCAACTTGATGGTTTGGGCCTTGAGGAGTGATGGTGACCAGGGTGGGCCCCTGGGACTGACTGGGTGGGTGATAGGAGCGTGAGGACTCTCAGGCTCGGGCAGGGCCGCTGCTGCAGTTGGGGGCTCTGGCACAGAGAACTGGGGTCCCCCCATCCCTGGAGTAGCAAGGCCTCACCTGAGTCTCAGGGCAGGCTTGAAACCGAAACTGGCATAGGATGTGGAACAGCGTCAGCTTGACTTCCAGCAGCCCCAGTCGCACCCCCATGCAGCTCCGGGGACCCGCCCCAAAGGGCAGGGACGTGAAGGGGCGTTGCCGCCGCTGGGCCTCGGCCGTGAACCTGGAGGTCGGGGGATCAGGGTCGGCCTGGGATACCCACTCCCTTTCCGGCCCCTCTGAAGCTCCCCTTCATTGGAGACCATGCTTCTCTACATAGGGGGCCAGCCCACCAAGGCCTAGGGAATCCTGTTTTCTCCTGAGTCCCCAAGGCTCTGGGAGCTGGTGGCCACTGACCCCTAAGGCACTCTGAATGCCAAGGTTCGCCCGGGAGGTCTGCAATGCCTCCCCCTCTTGGGAGGGGAGTGTGTGGGAAGTGAGTGGCGGGCTTGCCCATGCCCACAGTAGGGTGTGACACCCCAGTGGCTAGCCCAAACCTGGGGCTTGACCTTCATAGCCCTCACCTGGGCCTGTGACTCCACCTTCCCGTCAGCTGGAGGGTGACTCAGGCTTCCCCAGCAGAAAGCCTGGACCCCATCCCTGGAGTAGCAAGGCCTCACCTGAGTCTCAGGGCAGGCTTGAAACCGAAACTGGCATAGGATGTGGAACAGCGTCAGCTTGACTTCCAGCAGCCCCAGTCGCACCCCCATGCAGCTCCGGGGACCCGCCCCAAAGGGCAGGTACGTGAAGGGGCGTTGCCGCCGCTGGGCCTCGGCCGTGAACCTGGAGGTCGGGTGATCAGGGTCGGCCTGGGATACCCACTCCCTTTCCGGCCCCTCTGAAGCTCCCCTTCA